GGGAACCAAAGTGTCCCAGGTTCGATTCCCAGCCAGGGTACATTCCTGGGTTGCAGGCCATAACCCCCAGCAACCGCACATGGATGTTTCTCTCTCTCTCTCTCTCCCTCTCCCTCCCTTCCCTCCCTAAAAATAAATAAATAAAATCTTAAAAAAAATAAATAAATAAATATGATGTAAGTCCGTATTTGTTTGAAAAGAATCAAACCACAGAAAGCTTTTCACATGCTTTCCTAGGTCCCACATTTTCATGTGTGCTAGGACGCTCCTTCAAGGACTACAGTTGGCAACTTGAAAAGAAAAACTGAGTGACACCTGCCAAAGTCAAAACGCTTTTATTTATGCTGAAGTTTAGCAAGTACATTTTTAACAAAGAAGGTGTACTTTAACTTAATATATGGTAGAACAGAGAAACCATACATATGTCTCTAGTCTCTAACACACTACCGAATTTCTTTTTCTTAAAAGACAAAAAGCCAAGCCGAAGTGAGCATAGAAAAGCATCGAATATGGTCAAGATACTTAAGCCATGAAGAGTTCAGCTCATATTCTCAAACTGGTCAAACTAAATGCGAGGACAAAGTTCACATCATTGCTTTTGAAATGTACACACGTTCCTTTTTTTTTTTTATAACACGATATAGATCGAATAGCTGCTTCAGTAAACAAAGCTTTGCTGATAAACACGACGGCAATAACTCCATGTTGAAGAGTTTCAGAGGTAAACTGGAACGATGAGCATCTTCATTCATGTGAAGCCAGCCAAGGGCCTTTCTGGCTGAGCACAGCTGTTGCACCATTGCTAAACAGTAAACGCTACCTCCTTTGAAAAACAGAAAGCAAGTTAGTTCTTCTGAGGAATAAGTCAGATCCGTGCTGAAACATACTACCCCATCCTCAGGAACCTAAATGATCTGATGTAACAGGCTTCGTTCAATATCAATAAAGTTTGAAATTTCGTTTTCAAAGATTCCCTCAAGTTTCATGCGACAGCGCCTGTTCTTTCCACAGCACTGACTTATTACAACTCTTTTCATAAACGATGATGCCTATAGTTATCTACAGTACTTTTGTTTTTTGGACATAATGGGGATATCTGAGATCCTATCAGCTATCAAAATAGAGAGAAAGGAGTATCCAGTCATGACGTAAGGGAATGACAGCTTTGAATACTTAGCATTTTCTCTCCTCGGGTTAACCAGGAGACTGTGTGATTCTTTTCCAGTTCTGATTCTGATTTGAACCATAGTGTTGGGTCAAACGGGTATCTATGGAAATGTTGGTATTCAAAAGAACCCATGCGTTTCCAGGGTTAGAAAATATTTGATGGTGTGGGGAAAAACTCTAACTGGAATTAATTTTCAAAAAATGACTCTACCTCTTTTAGTCTAGCCTTGCTGTCTTCCATAGCCGTGTGTTCGGGCCTCAGGTTCTAGCCAGCAACCTCATAAAAATTAGTCACAGAAGAGCCAGAAAACAAAGTGTGGAGGATCAGTACAAATCCATCACCCACGCTTAAGAAACACTTCAAGTCTATGTGTCTGGGTGAAATGTATCATCTTCACATAGAAAAGAGACTGCATTTTCAGTGTTGGACTGATCAACCTAGTCTAAAACACTAATTCAGTCGTGTCGAAGGTTTGCACTGTCAGGAGGAAAATATATCTTTTTTGAGCCTTGTGTATAAAATCTTTAAAATATTTATTCTATCTGTGCAGAAGGTATTGCAGGATGTCGGGGGAATGTTCTGGATAGTACCTCTGAACCAAAAATAAGGGTATGGTAAGGGATAGAAGAACAAAACAATCGGTGTTTATGGTGCTGACATGACCTGGAGGGTCAGAGTTCATTTCAGGGCCACCAGACAAAAGGCCTATGAAATTCACGTGAATACTTCCAGTGACCAGAAGAAAACAAAAGTCGAATTTTTGAAAACTCTCTGGTCATTTGCCACCCCAGAGAATTGTTCAGACGCCTTTGTGGCGTCTGAGAATATTTATTCTGATCACATTCCCCAGATAGTTGCTCAGTTTTCCAGCCTACCTCATCCTCTGTACACAAAAGCCTAAATGGCAAAGGGAAGTTCTTCAACATCAAAAGGCAGACACTCCTTTTACCAGGATTGAAATGTATACAAAATAGCTAAACCGCTTCACTCACGCTATAGAAACTGGGAACGTTACAAACTTGAAAGCGATCACAAAACGAAACTAATATCAAGTGGGAAAAACGGGACATAATCCTAGTAACAAATGCCACAAAGCAATCATCACTGCCCTTTAGAAAAAATGACATTTTGGAAAAATCTCCCTTGTTTCTCATGTTTAATTATATACCTTAGAAAAAAGACAAACATTTCTGCCCACAACCTTCATTAAATGTGTCCATTCATAAGGTCTATCACGAACTGTTTCCCACAGCCAGCAGCTCAAAAATCCAAAGCAAAACGAGGCCAGCAAAAAGAAGACAGTATTACTATGAGTCCATTTTTCTATGCAGAATACAATGCAAGTGAGATTTTCGTAGTAGTAAAAGTTTTTCTTCTAATGTAGCGTATAATAGTAGCAACATAGACTTCTGTGTCGCATGCTGACGTTGACACTGTGTGTTACTGTTTCACAGGTACCAGCACTGAGCCATCCTAAGGCAGGAGCCGACGCTGACCCAGTAACTGACACGGGCCCTTGGAGCCATCTCAAAGTTCGCCACATTTCCATTTCAGAACGTATTTCAGCTGTAATATGAGTGATTTATCATTTAGTAGTAGCTGTCAGAGGAAACTCCTAGATAAAACAAAAACATCTGGAACCATAAACAGAGGAGAGCAGTAGCTGAATTTTAATCTGGACCCGGCCTACTCACTTCATTAGGAGCAGAAAACAGCTAATTAGTAACTGAACGTTTCACATTTTTAAGAGGGTTTTGGACTTGAGTCCAAGCAGAGATGATGTAATACGCATTTTGGATGGAAACAAGAGAAAAGATCAGGAAGAACGAGGAACAAAGCTTCTCCGCAGAGGGAGCTTGGGATCTTGCAAGGAGTGACACCCACTGCCATTTGGGGAGAACTGACATTTAGTGCTTTAAGATTTATTGGACGAGTAAAAGGGGGAATTTGAGACACGAATATGACCATTTTAAAAATAAGGACAAAGACCCGAACAGTCCTTCCGTACCGGGATCGTACGTTCCTCTGCGGATCAGCTGAGTTATCTCGAAACAGCTGTTCCTGACTCTTCCAAATTTCAATGTGTGAGTTTCTGACATACAGGGTCCGGCACAAATAATACCCCTTTTAATGACAAAATCCTTTATGACAAAATCACAACCATGTCATTCTGTAACATAGCAATACCACACTCAAGCGCAGCATGTGCCATTGTAGGGGACATGTTCAGGTTAAAACTATACATTATCACACCCATGTGATTACCCTACCAGCCACACTCCAACAGGCATTGCTGCTGCTGGACCCTGTATATCTGAGGCTGACAAAAAGGAAAAAGCTCAAATGAGGTGTCATAATAAAGGCAGATACGTGTGGAAAGGCCAGAAAAAAACACAGGTATGCGTTATAATGCAACCAAAGTCAGCTAATCATACCTATTTGTAGAAAGACACTAGTTTGGTTTTAAGTGACTCGGTTCATTTGAAAATGCTGTTCAGTGCCCCCTGTGGTTCAATAAATGCTGTTTGCTTGTCAAATAATGAGACTTTTCTGGATATTATATTTTTAGTCATACCTCTGTGTGGTTCAATTCAGATATTTGGCATGAATAACATTTTTAAAAGTGTTATTTCATTAAATGCCCCAGTCCTCCTCCATGACATGCCTCTAATTTGCATTATTACACTAACTTCAGTTAAAGGAGATACAAGTCGACCTCCTTCTGCAGGCTCTAGAAAGCACCAGAAGCCAAATGCCCGTGCCACACAAGAAAGGTCTTCAGAGCATGGGATGACTGGAATGTCACACTAACATGGAGTGATGTCATATTTAGAAGTGTGTAGGGTAGGTGGCCATTCCAGAAGAAACGGCATGTAGTGCCACAGGGAAGTGATTATGGCCTTTTTGTTACTACAACTTCATTCTCGAGCCCATGCAACAATAACAGAGTGGATCAGATTTTGCTTGTGTAAGGCGGGCACTTTAGGAAGGGCATCAAGTCGTTCTGATCACTCGAGTACCGTTTAATACATTGCAATAGTGCTCTATTCGATTCTTAGGAGGCATGAAAATAATGATGACAGGTATTTGCCATCCGCCTTTGGCCAAGTCTCCACTAAAGAAAAAGTTAAAAGATACGCGAGGCCATTTCCTGGGCAATTCAAACTAAACGACCCATTTGGTTCTAATCATTGGAACATTTTAGGCATCTTGCCATGTGTAAACCAGAGGGGTGAGCAAAGGAAAGTTATCTGTGATGTGACTGGCCCATCATATCTGCCTTTTTCCTTGCCTACAGATTTTTTTTTCTTGTTTGCTTGCTAATAGCCTACTAAAGAGGAAGCGGGATTGGAAAGGGGAGGACGCAGAAAAGAATTCAAGGGGTGTTTTCAGTAGTTTGGGTGTGTGTTTATATCACTGCCTCTTCTTTCCAGATTAGGAATGTGCTAGAAGAAAGGGATTAAGTAAACGGCTCTGCCGTGGACAGATCAAAAGAACTGGCCACGGTGATATCTACAAACTGGACCTCTCTCTGTTCCCTTCGAGAGCGCTACAGGCAACGCGTATCTTTTAGAAAGATGAGCTCTAAAATAGTCATCACATATATCGATCATTTGCAACAAATGGCTTACCCTCTCACGTCATTCCTGTTCAATCCCAGGTCAGCCAAACATAAAGCTATTTCATAGTGATCACAGCTTGAAGTGGCTGCGTCTGCCTTTGAACTTCTGCCACACCGTTTAGAAAGAGCATTTTGTCTGTCTAAAAACTTCTTCCACCTACTTACCCGACCGACTAAGATGCTGTGTGGAAGAAAGGGGGTTATCGAAGTGTACAATATCATAATCATCATTATGATTATCCCCTAAAAATGTGGGAAACCCATTCTCTAGCACATTTGGCCTGTACGTGCAAAGGTTTATTTATTGGTAATAAACAAACAGAAACTGACGGTTCCATAGTTGAACAATTTGAGTATGAACGCTAAAAAGAATTACAACACTAGAGAAGCAGGTAACTGCCACAGCACGCTATTTGTGCCTACGATCAGCTGGAGTTCAGGCATCAGCGTTCAGGCTGCGAAGAAAACAAACAAACAAAAAAACCGAATCAAAATTTCATTCCAACAAAAACAAATCCAAAATCTACTCAATGAACTCTGAAAACCACAAACTGGCCTTCCAGTCTTTTGCCACGTTACCTCTGTTCATCAGTTCAATAACTCTGCGTGCGAGAAAAGTATTGTTTTATTTGGCTAATTCCTTATTCATGCATTCCTTGATGGGTAAGTCTCATTCTATTAAAAATGAAACAGGGTGAGCAAAACTGTAGATTTACAGTAGTCGGAAGCTTAGTCTCTGGGGGTGATGTTGACAAGATAAAAATGGTGTAAATGATATTTCCTAACTCTAAAATATGCTTATGAGCCCCTTAGGCACGTTGTACTGCTTTACGACCTGCAGTGAAGCGCATGACTAGCTTAATAAGCAAGGCACTTAGAAAGGTTTCTTTTCCCCTTCACAGACTGAAGATCCACACCGTTTTGTGAGTTGAAATCTTTGTTGATGATTGCGATTTCCCCTCAGGATGAAGTTTCCTTCCCTGACATAAGGGTTATGTAAAAGTAATTTCTCACTACTTTTTGAAACTACCAAGAACTGTGTCCATAATGTTTTTTGAAGGTTTAAATTTGTGTTTAAAAAAATTATTTTTCCTACCCAGGCCTCATGGTTTTCCCCCCAGTGTTTCCTCACCTCGTATTCCCCTGTATAAATAATGGGATTTTCTTAAGAACTAATAGTTTTCTCATCACTCCCATGCTTTGGTGTATCAAATGTTTCTTTTGAGTAGCTAACTTATCTGTGAACTAATGGCAATAGTTTACCAATGATTTCTCTTTTTTTTTCTTGGTAATTTCCCCATCTTTCTTTCCAAGGAACAGCCCACAGATAACACTGCTCCAACGAAATGGTCGTTCTGTGTCTAAAGACTCACAATCTCGGGAGAGAGAATCTCAGGTCAGGCACCCTCACCATGTTTCAAAATACCAGCCATCTTCTGTACCCGAGTTCTGAGTCAACTGAGAATAGGAAAATAGAGAAGAAACCTTTATGATGCTTTTTAAAAAGCTAACAGAGAATTTGGTAAGAATGTTGCCCAAATAACCATTTGCATTATTAGGGTAAAGTAGCTACCATCTTCGGTATGTGGATTATGACCAGTGTTAATGCTCAAACATTAAACAAGTAAATCGTACATTGTGAGGGCACTTTAAGGAGGAAGGAGTTGTGCATAAAATTCTAAAGAATGTCTTTCTTTTTTTTAATTTTTAAAAGATTTTATTTATTTATTTTTAGAGAGGGAAGGGAGGGAGATAGAGAGAAAGAGAGAGAGAAACATCAATGTGCGGTTGCTGGGGGCCGTGGCCTGCAACCCAGGCACGTGCCCTGACTGGGAATCGAACCTGCGATGCTTTGGTTCACAGCCCACGCTCAATCCACTGGGCTATGCCAGACGGGGCTAAGAATGTCTTTCTTTAAATTCACTTCAATTTTCAAAATCAATGTTACATGGCTACTATGAATGAGAAAGAAGTTCCCCAGAACAAAGAAAAATTTATCTTAATGGCCCACAGTAAGGAATTCTGGCCTAAAATTATATAACTGAGTATCTATTAAGGTCTAGTTCTGATAGGGTGAAATGAGTGTAGCCACAGGTAGGAAACTTTCTTTCTATTACTATTTCAGCTTCTCTAGACAGTTTTAAATAGAGAAGACAGATGTATGGTATTTGTGTAACCCTCACCCAATCTCTGCAAAGTCTTAAGGCAGAAGTTATTAAATTATACTTGGTTAATTAACGACACACAGGTGAAGCCATCCTTCTACCCCTTATGGGCTGTTTTGCGTGGGATAATATTATACTCCACGTAATGTATCCTGCTAGCTAATGAACTATGACAGATTTTTACAGGTTTGTAGAGACAGTGGTACTATCGCATGGAATGACAGTGAGAACGATTGGAGAGGGATTTTAGATCCTGTGTGTTAGAACCCATTGTCAGTTGCAAGCCAATGAACTTCTCTTAGGTTACTTCCCTACTTACAAAACAGGGGCCGTGATACCTTCCTTACCTATCACGTGGGGATCATCCTGCTAGAGAGTGTGTGTGTTAAGAAAGGCACACACACACAAGCTCATCTTTGTGACTGAATTGTTACCAATGAGAAAATGCAAAGTTCTCCAGGCTGTCCAAACACTAGGTATTGTCTTTTCCCCTGACTATTCCAATTCTGGGCTATCAATTCCTCATTCCATCGACAATGAGCAACTTGGCACAGAAGAACCACACGGCACAAATTTTATGTGCAAATAAATGTGGCAGCAACAGAGTAATTCTATGGCATATTGTCACAGCCTTCTATGAAAATGGTGTCTGTTTTCATAATTAAAACACAAATATGCCCTGGCTGGTGTGGCTCAGTGAATTGAGTGCCAGCCTGCAAACTGAAAGTTCGTTGGTTCGATTCCCAGTCAGGGCACATGCCTGGGTTGCAGGCCAGGTCCCCAGTAGGGGGCATATGAGAGGCAACCACACACTGACGTTTCTCTCCCTCTCCTACTCCCTCCCTTTCCTTCTCTCTAAAAGTAAATAAATAAAATCTAAAAAAATGTGAAAGTAAATAATAAGACAAACTTGTAATCAGAGAAAGGCTTTCCTTTTCTGTGTTTCTCAGATATATCTGGGACAGGGTGAATCCTAAACTTAAAAAATTGTATTGCATATGTAAAGAGAATGAGGCATAAAGTAACTGGTTAAGCAGTTATAAGAGGTGAGTTAAACAACCTTTCTAGGTCATATTAAAACATCAGGATCATGATGATCTAGGTGAACATCTAGATCATCTCTAGATCATTAATACATTAGTTTTGTAGACTCCAAAATGCCAACTAGCAGAACAACCTATTTTGATCTGAAAACCTTACTATCTTGCTATCACTTCAAGTACAATGTCATCTATTATGTGAGTGGGATATAAGTAGAATTGTAACTCAGATCTGTAGATAAAATTTTTTACTATCATCACAATTAGTGTGACAGACTTTCAGTCATCACAAATATTTTCTTAACCACCCGATGACAAACACTGCAAGCAGCCCCATGACAACTAGGCCTTCAATTATCACACGATGTAAGCTTTTCACATTCTCCCAAGAAATAACTAGAAGAATATTGTGTGCTATAATCTGACAGGTATTTCACAGCAAAAGCACATGGTCTGGGAGATACCATCAATCAAGATTTTTAAAAAGAAATTGTAGAGGATGAAGGAAGTGAGGGACAGATACTTCCTGGGGAAGAAAGCAAAATCTCAGGCCATCTAAAGAAACTTACAGGGGGAAAAAAACTACTGCTTTAGAGAAAGATGCTTGATCACGAGTGTGATGGTGGTTCAGCAGAGGTTTCTCTGGGCGGTAAAAGGCTCCTACTCTTCAAGGAGGCATTTAAGAGGAAAAGGTCCCATTTCTTGCAATTTCTCTAATCTCTGAGATGCTGTCTAGTTTACAAAAGAACATTTCCACTTTAAAATGGGAATATTACAGTGCCTGTGCATATCTTCCAACATGGTAGAAGACAAAAAACGGGGGGGAAATTAATGATTAATGATGGTAGGGCAGGAAGTAGTCTGTTGGACTTGGTAGAAAACCCTATAGAGAAATTCTATCTGCTCTCTTTTTAATTTTTCTTGTCATATCACATACGTGGCAAGAAATCAGAGGTGATTTATCATTTCAAGTCCCCGTACTTGCTCCTAGCAACAATTTCACTGCTATTCTACCAATTTCTGCAATGACAAACTTAGCTCAACAGTAATTGCTTGCAATAAGGTTGGGCATGGCATCTTAAGCTTTTCTGGAGGAGTGTTGTTAAAGATTTCCAAGCAAGCAGCAAAGAGAGAAGAAAAGAGTGTTGTGAATCAAGGAAGACTATATGCAGTTCAGGTTGATTTTGAGATAATGGGTAAGAATATACATATTGATATATCTTTGATAGTATAAATATATGTTAAAACTTATACGTTATAAATATCCATATTAAATTACACTGTAAAATATAATGTGTGTATTTTTGACATCAAACTTAAAATGCCAAAGGTTAAAGGTGAAGAGAGAATCTTAAAAGCAGCAAGAGAAAAGCGGCTCGTTACCTGCAGGGGAGCTCCCATAAGACTGTCAGCTGATTTCTCAAAAGAAACTTTGCAGGCAAGAAGGAATTGGCAAGCAATATTCAAAGTCATGAAAAGCAGGGGCTTACAACCAAGATTGCTCTACCCAACAAAGCTATCATTGAGAATCAAAGGGCAGACAAAGAACTTCCCAGACAATATAAAACTAAAAGAGTTCATCATCACCAAACCTTTATTCCATGAAATGTTAAAGGGTTTTATTTAAGAAAAAGAAGATCAGAACTATGATCAGAATAATGATCAGAGCAATGCCATTAGAACTAACTGGCAAAAAGTACATACCTATCAATAATTGAATCTAAAAATCAAGCTAAGCAAACAAGAAGAATACAGACAGAACCATGAGTAAGCCTCCACATTTTTTAAAAACAAACAAAAAAATGGTTCACATGGAAGAAAAGGTTAAGTGGGTTAACCTTTCAAACTGTGGTTTACTTTTTAAAGAAGATTTGATTTATTTATTTTTAGAGAAGGGGAAGGGAAGGAGAAAGAGGGGGAGAAATATCAATGTGTAATTGCCTCCTACACGCCCCCTACTGAGGACCTGGCCCACAACCCAAGCATGCGCCTGGCCAGAGAATCTAAATGGTGACTCTTTGGTTCACAGGCTGGGACTCAATCCAGTGAGCCACACCAGCCAGGGCAAAATTTGGTTTACTCTTGACATGTAGACTGGACTTCATATCTACTTCAGGAGTGTTAGTATAAAAAAAAGTAAACTATTACTTAAGATTCCACCACATTTATGGAACAATGTCAGAGGAAACATATATCCCAGTTTCATTTTGTGCTATTGTCAATCATATAGCCAAAAAAGCCAATGTAGAAATTGATCACAGAGGTTGACGTTACCCTTGCAAAGACAGTTTCTAGTTTTCTGTTTTGTTTTGTTTTCCCCAAACAAATGCAGTAGCAGAAAGAGGAACAATATATCACTCTGCCCTTGTACTTTATGGTATTGTCTCCCCTGAACTTTTTATTTCATTTTATTTCACTAGTAGAAAGTCCATGAAGGCTGTTGTCTCTTCTCTAAAGTGTACAAGCTTCATATACCAGGTTTGTTTGCTCTATTATTGTTAAGATGATGATGTCCGTTTTCCAAAATTTAAGAAACATGCACTGCCAACTGTTCCAGTAGCCCCCTAATAACGAGATATAGTCAGACAAAAGTTAACTAAGGTATAAACATGCAAAAGGAGAAGTCTCGCTGCGATCATAAAATGGTGTTATTTTCTGTTCAGCAGTTCATGTTACTGCTGCTCATGCTAATTAATTAAAGGAGCTGTTGCTGTAATGTGCAAACAGAGAGTCTGAGAAACCAAGCAGGCTTTCAGGTCTCCAAGTGAAGTTAAGTCAATCTGGGCGCGGGCAATCAAATGTAATGAAATCACTTGTCAGTGCTAAGCTTGCAAAAACTGTGAAGTTTGACTAGGGAGTAAAAGGATTATAATTAGATTTCCAATAGGATAATAACTAAATGGCAGAACACAGTAAAGAGAAAATATGACTTCGTTAGCTAATGGTACCGCTGTTCAGTTTGAGTTTTTATCAGCGCATTGGTAGTTGCGCTAATTTAATGTGCTTTTATCAGCAAAAATGCACTACGCAAATGGTACTCGAATGTCATTTGCAAAAATCATTGATCTGAAGGTGCACTTAATGACACTGGGTATGTTTATTTTATGTGAAACAGAGATTGGTTGATAAGATGGTTGATGTACTCATCTTGCAGGCCCCCCACTGAGTTATGGGAATCGACGCAGGAAAGTATTAGTGTACAGGGTCCAGCACAAATAACGCCCTTGTTTTATTACCAAATCTTTTATGACAAAATCATAAGCATGTAATTCTGTAACATGACAATGTCACACTCAAGCACACCATATGACATTTTGGGTGAAATGTTCATTAAAACTATAAATTACTACACCCGTGTTATTACCCTAGCAACCATACTCCAGCAGGTGTTATATCTGCCGGACCCTGTATACATTCCACCGAATCCTTCACCTCCAGCAATAGTGGACACGGCCATCAAGGTGAGTGTGCATTCTCTGTCTGATCACCTTAAAATACTCAGGAAGAGTCGCTATCATAGACTGCTAAAACACAAAACATACGGAAATCCTTTTCTCAGACGGTGGTCCCTGTATGATATCATGTCTGTCAAACAACATCCAAAGCATGAAAGACATGAGACATCTAAGCTAATTGGATTTCAAATACGTGTTTGAATCTGACAAGTGGAAATTATCATAAAATTGCATATAACTTTATTCCTTCTCAGGATGGCCAAGCAACATTCTTCCAAGTCCTCTTTAAACTCTCTTAAGGAGATGTCGTCACCATGCAACTGATTGAATTTCAAAGGGAAAGTACCAGGCAAACTTCTATCCAGCAGAGGTACTGATAATAGGAAGAGACAAGACTTCATTGGGGCTTTAATTGTTCGCTGTGACGGAGATGCATTTTTTGGAAATGGCATCGGATCGGCATACATGAACTGACCCTTATAAACAATGTTAGGGAATAATCTATTTAAAAATTGGGTAGGTGATGGAAATGAAAATGATGAAAACAGTATCAGAACCAGTCACAAAAGAAAAATAAGTATACCAGACAAGAGTAAAAACTTTAGGGAGAACGGAAAAATAATAGTTAGCCTTGTATTTTATGTTTTCCAAGTATGATACATTTTCTTGAAATTCATAAATACATATAAACATAGTTTTTCAATTCTGAGCATCTTAACAAGTAATACTATTGGGATTTTTCAGATAATTATTTAAGTTGTTTGATTTGGTGGGTTATATTTAACATGACTTCTAGTACTATTTTCTGAAAGCAATATCCCTGGCTAATAGAATAAATCATTTTTGGTTAAAATTTTTATTTTATGTATTAAATTGTGTTTCTCTTGAAATATTAACACATGGCATTCATTCCATAAATTGATGATAGGAACTTTATGACTTATGCTGCTTAAATTCTGTCCTAAGAGAGGTAAAAATGTGTACTTTTCCATTTTCATCATGTTTGTCAAGAAGACTATTTAATATAACACAAAAGGTGAATGTTCAGGAGAGAATATTTAATCTATCATATATTTACAACATTAACCACAAATAGTTGACAATTTCTTTTGTAATTTGAAGGAAAAATAATAAAAGTTAATTCCCCAGCTTTAAAATAAGTTCCGTCTTCAGCCTTTTAAAGGTCTATCTAATTCACTTATGTTGAACCAGCAAAAATTAGTAGAACTTATTCAAATTATGTTTAGTGAAAATAGATATTCAATGTGTCCTCCCTTAATTACAAATTAATATGAAAACAACTGATTTGTACGGGCTTTATTAAAATAAAAACAAATGTGCCAAATGGAGCGTGAATGTACCTTTTGCTTTTATCACCTAATTAACCAACGGCCCATGAGTAAGATGTGTGTTGTTTGTTGCATGGAAATGAAATACCATTGGGGCAGTTCATCAGTTTGTATTTATCTCAGAGTGGGGAAGATGCTAATCCCATGTACTAAACGCATCACATAAATTAATTGTGTTTATTATTGGGAGTACAGAATAAAGGATCACAAAGATACAACCTGTTGATCGTGTTTGGTTTACCCTTCCGGTTCCTCAGCTGACCTTACATCCCAATCGAAGGAGGGACACAGTCAAGCTCAATGTTTCCTAAAGACCACGTTTATATTCGTGTATCACAGATTCAGAAGGGGTCAAATGAGTCAGGCTTATTCAACCCTGCCCCAGCCCTGATGTATGGTGGCAACCTCAACTAGTGGTAGCCCACCACGACTGGAGTTTTCTGCATAGAACCCACTGCGGTGCATGGAGAGATGGAACACTGAGTCCCATCCAAATTGGCTTTGCAGACATACGCATGGCCTTCAAGCCGAGGGGAAAAGCAGGCAAGCAAATGTGGGATAAGAGGCTGCAAAAGCCTTCCTGAATGAGCTAAACATGCATGCTTTCACATCTAGCAAGGCGCCTAGTTAATGCATTAGCTATGTCCAGTCAGCTACAGCAGAATCATTCTCAGAAGACCCGTGAGCTCTGACACTCCTGGTTTTGCACAAATAACATGTAAAACTACATGGATGAGGGTTCCCGAATTTGGTGAAGCTGCCACATAAAAGGGTGACTCTCAGATAAACCCAAATAGCTCTATTGGTCACATCCTATAGGGAACTGTTCCGCATGGCATGGGGAATGTAGCCCAGCCCCTGATTTGGAAAATTGATGGGGAGCAAGGTGAGCACACAGGACCCATGCCCAGAGATAGGTTCTCCTGTGGGGAACCAGGCCTGCATTGTGCCTAGGCTGCTCTGAGTCTTCTTTTTGCTAAAACTCCCTCACCCTGAATTGAGGCAGCAAATATTCATTGCGTAGCTTTAAAGTAACCTCCTAAAATCTATGCTAAACCTCCCAAAGATGGGCTATAACCACTTCAACCACTTTTTCCTTTGCATTTGCCAATATCCTTTTTTCTTTGTAGTAATTACCAACTTCCTCTCCTTTGTTAGCTGCAAAAGGCAATCACCTACAAGGAACTTGTACATAGTAAATGAGGACTATCCTCCATGTAATGTGCCCAGAAAAGCAATCAAAGCTTGTCTAGGCAGGAGTCGGGGCCCTCTCTCTCACTCAGAGAGTGGCCATACCGTCCCTTTTTCTGCACAGGACTTCTGCAGTCCATGTGGATTTGTCTTGCAGCTACAACACACGGATCCTGCCAGCCAGGGTCCGCATCAGCATCCAGCTCTATTGCCTTCACCGGGCCGTGGGAAGGCACCGATTACTTCAACCTCCAGTAAGCAACATATCCATGGTCTCCTTCCTTTTTGAAAGTTAGGAAGTCATTTTCTCATGGAGATGCCTTTCTTATTAGAGTGAGATATATTTTCACAATAAATGTGAAAGTAAATTTAATAATCAGCATACAAGATGCTGAAAAGCTGCCTTAGAATCACACTGGAAAAACTCCAGCAGTCGAATATTGTAGGTGCTTTTGAGCTGCAGTGAGACTCTATATTGATTTGTGCCATCTGTTTTCTTACTAGTAAATATTTCAAAGGCATTTAAAGGACCTAAGCATTTATGGGAATCCTGCGAATTACAAAAAAGAAATTGTGCTTTTTTGTACTTATTTAGGTGGTTTCTAAAATTCTGTAAAGTGAGCGTTGAAATTTAAAGATTGATAAAAATGTTGCCAATAACACTTTGAAATAATCAATACTTTATGATTATTATACCTGTGGCTTCTGCAAATATTAGTGAGATCTTTTAAAGCATATTATTGCATACATCTAAAAGGTAAATTATATTAACATTTATGCATTTTTAGAATATACCTAACACATAAAAGTGAATCTTTTTAACAGTTAAACATGCAATAAATTTGCACACATTATGTTTTTTTTACACTATGTACCTACACGCATGTCTATGTATATGAGGTTATAAATAATCTTTTAAAAAATAATACAGACTTCTTAATCTGTTATAAAGTAAGAAGAGCTAAACTTATGTTACTTATATGAAGAGTATGAACAGAGGCTCACCCCTGCCCCACCCCCAGGGAGAAAGACTTCACAGAGAGGAAGATGCTGTTACTGTACCTTGCATAGCAGTGCTATCATGAGGAGTCCCATTGTCCTCTATTTCGATATCTGGGATCCCAGTATCTGAAAAAAGTGACATTCATAATTAAGATACAAAACTGTTTTCCTCTGATTCCATTTAAAGTGAAAGCTATTGGTAAGACAGTGCTTTGGTCCTATACATAACACAAAAATGTTGCATGGCATTTTTGGTTTTTTGTATGTATATTGTTTTTTTATGTTAGAAAGGAGTGTTATAAACTGTAAGTGAATTCTATAATTGGGCATACAATTCCAGGTCTATAGTAAGTACTCCTTTATTCATTGCATTCTCTAGAGCTAAATCACAGGAAAATAACCTGTCCTTAAAAATCCTCTCAGACTATCATGTAACATGCCTTCACTGTGGAATAAGAAAAAGACAGTCTTGGCTGGTGTGGCTCAGTGGATTGAGTGTTGGCCTGCAAACCAAAGGGTCGCTGGTTCGATTCCCAGCCAGGGCACATGCCTGGGTTGTGGGCCAGGTCCCCAGTAGGGGGCGTGCCAGAGGCAACCCCCTCTCTTTATCTCTCTCTTTCCCTCTCTTGAAAAATAAATAAAATCTTTAAAAAGAAAAAGATAGATACAATCACATAAGTGGCAGTGCTCCGTCCTGATGCTGTAGTTTTCATCTGCAAAATCTGACAGATAATGAGATTCTGTCCATGCTAGGCACACGCCAACACCACAGCACAGGTTACAGCGTGTGGTCTTTCTGTAGCATAGGCTCTAGGTGCAAAGGGGTATGTGAATCGCTTCAACAAAAAAAAGCTTGAGAAAAGGAAAAAAGACGTTGGGCTCTTATTTTCTATTTTAATACGGAATGTGACTATGTGAAATTTATACATATACATGAAGGCCCGCTTATATGGACATTTCTGTACGTACATATTTGCTCCGACACCCTTGGGTAATGTGGCAACAGATGCCAGTGTATCAGCCGATGCCATCAAGGAAGAACGTGAGAAGGAAATTTATCTGAGTCCAAGGTACCCCTCCTGCTGTAGAAACAGCTGCTTTTGCTTTATAATAGACAACACTGCCGCTGGAGTGGAGGCCACTTACGTGTGGATTGCAGATGTGCATAAAAAAGGTGAAACTTTCTCAGAATTCCAAGTTCAGGGCCTCAAATCATAAGAATGTACAGAACGTTTGTCCCATTGCTGGTCGGAAATGTCACTTTTCAAACCTTAAGGAAGTAAAGATGCTGGTTCCCACTGTCTAACACGGTACACTGTATGAAATATTAATGTATTAATATTTATTCTCTCTTCTTTGCCTCAACAAGGCACGGTTGTCACAAGGTAGTGATCTATATCACTCTAGATCTATCTGTTGATTGTGAGCACGATGATCTGAGGTAGTCACAGTCAAAAGACACTTGAACTTTTGGAAAGGAAAGGGTACGACTGATCATTGGTAAAAAATCCTTTATTCATTCTTAGTACAGGACAATGACGCACCTGCCTTTAAATTCATGAGGGTATAATATGTGTGTCCGGGGCATGTGTACACATGTGTGTAAAATCCTTAGGCTCATCCTGGTAATATACACGTATCACTTAAATAGACGAGCTGTCAACCTGCTATGAAAGAGGAACTGGAATATTCTATGAGATAAAACACTGTTTCAGGTTTCCATATTTAAAAAAAGGAAACAGGAAAGTTTGTAATTTTAAGACATTTTATGACAAAAGCACCTCTTCTCAAAAGATCTCTGGGGATTTACTTACAACATTCATTTTCACCCAGGCGCTCCTTAAATCCTCAACACTGCCTTAATTAAAGGAGCCGCTACTGTTTAGCTCATTAAAATAAAGTAGCAGCCCTGACCAGCGGATGTCTGTTGGTTGGGTGTGTCCTGCAAAGTGAAAGGTCGTGGGTTCCATTCCCATCCGGACACGTGCAAGACACAGTGGATCAATGTATCTTTCTCTCTCTTTCTCCCTCTCTCCCCCTCTCTAAAAATAAATAAAATCTTTAAAAAACTAGAGTTTTTAATAAAAAAAATCTTGAACATCAGCATTTTTTAAATATGAATGGACCTATAACATTTACAGTTTAGATGCAGGAAGGTTACTAGTACTACATTTTTTACTGCAAAAACCAGCAGGATTTTTTGTTATTCTGAAACTATTTATCTCCCGGAATCAAGATTATTTTGACAGATTTCATTAATGACTTAAATTGCTTAGCTTCGAATTGATTTTGTAATTATTCCTGGACAAAGCCTCTTTCCTCCCTTTCTCCCTCCCTCCCTGTTTTTTAAATCGGGTTTTCCTTTCCGTTAGTGCGTGAAGCCAAATCAGACAGTACCTTTCAACATCCTCAGGCCGCTCTCGTTAGTAGCGGCTTGCTTAAGTGCTTGCTCCACTTGCTCCCGTCGCTTCGATTCAAATTCCAAAGCTTCCTGCAGTTTTCTCTTGGCTTTTTTCTCCTTCTTCAGGCGCTTTTGCATGGTATCTGAAATGTGAAAGGTAAATAGTTTGCAAAGGTTTGGTGAGTGAAACAAGAGTTGCTAGTTGTGATGGATTATGAATGATAGGCATTGATAAGAGAAAGATATGTAAGTGTATCAGTTGAAATATGATTAGATTATTTTGGTTCCAATTGTCATTAGCTCAACCACAGAGTATTCAATCCTAAAACCGACTTGTTTCTGCTTTTGCATTTCCAGTGCGCATGCTCTTTAATTACACACACAGTTGTATGTTGGTGATAGCAGTGGTGAAAAATTGTTTTCTATTTTGACTAACAACACACATTTCATGATAGCACTAAGTATTTTATAAATTTCTTAAGAAGTATTCATCGAACGGCCTGGCTGGCATAGCTCAGTGGATTGAGCGTGGGCTGCGAACCAAAGCGTCACAGGTTCGATTCCCAGTCAGGGCACATGCCTGGGTTGCAGGCCATGACCCCCAGCAACCGCACATTGATGTTTCTCTCTCTCTCTTTCTCCTTCCCTTCCCTCTCTAAAAATAAATAAATAAAATCTTTAAAAAAAAGAAATATTCATCAAGATATTGCTAGTCATATTTTAAAATGTAAAATAAAGAGAAAATATCACTTGGGTTGCAAAACATGGCATGTCTTTTAAAAGTTACAGGTTCAAGCGTATTTCTCTGAGATGTTACTAATGATAACGGCATTTATCTAGCTCTCCATCCACCCATTTGGAAGAGAATCCCTTTCAGCAGTGATGATAATAAGCAGCCGGGAAAAGCACAACAGTATGATTTTGTAAGCAGAAGAGGTAATGATGAGCTAAGAAAATACCTCAACTCTCATGGTAAGAAGAAAGAATCATTTGACGTGGATCCGGAGAAGGGCTTTCTCTGCTGAGATGGACTCCACGTGATCAACCAAAAGACACCTTAAGGACAGTAAATGCCTTGCAGCCATTTACTGACGGTTTCCTCACCTACTCTGGACTAGGAAACACCTCGGACTGACCTCCCACCTTCCCACCCCATCTGAGGTCACCACTGCCGGGGAATCCTGATGTAGTCTTTGTACTAACAGGCCGAGAACAGCCACCTTGCAGGAGAGCTGCATAATTGGGACACCTCGTTTTCAAACAGGGGGCCTAACGGAGAACATGGGAAGGAAATTCCACTGTCGAGTTTAGCCTCCCCTTTGTCTCGGTGGAATACAAGTCGCTACGCGAATCTGTCTCATGGGTTGCAGCTCCTTTTCCTCTGATCAGTTCTTTTCCTTTTTAAGATTTTATTTATTTATTTTTAGAGAGGGAAGGCAGGGAGGTAGAGAGAGAGAGAGAGAAACATCAGTGTGTGGTTGCTGGGGGTCATGGCCTGCAACCCAGGCATGTACCCTGACTGGGAATCGAACCTGCGACAGTTTGGTTTGTAGCCCGCACTCAATCCACTGAGCTACGCCAGCCAGGGCTCTGATCAATTCTTGTTATATTCTTATTACAGCCTAAAATGACTATTGGTTTACTGCATCTTAATTAGAAGCTTCAACTGCCTTAATATACAATGGTTTCTAAAGTGAAATGTTGAAATCTGTGCTAATTTCTCAAAAAGAATTATTAGGCTGCAGCAGAATGCTGATTCATAGCAAGGTTCTAGGCAGACTGACCTTCACATTCTTCATAAGTCAGTTTTGAAAAATTAACATATTGACATTATAGCAATAGAAAAACTTCCAGGGAACATTGAGCAAAATTATAAATTATATGACATTTGAAATGTCAAAAGTATTCACATAAAATTAATATATCATGATTGAACTGAATATGATGATAACTCGGGTTTCAATTGTATTTGTCTCACAGTTCAATGTCTTTTCATAGAAATGACCTTCAGCAACTGGGAGACAGTGACCCAGATAAATTTATGTTCAGTTGAGACAAAAAAGCAGAGGTCTAAGTTAATAAAATGGAAACCTTGGAACAAAGACACTGAGAATGCATGGCTTCTGTTATTTCAGATAAAAGACTATATGTAAGGTTAAAGATAAAAATATGTTGCTATTGTAATTATACTTAATTACCATCATTCCAGTAAAGCATTTTAACACATTGTTTAAATCAGAAATCTAAATTTATTCAAATTCATGTATAACTTAATGTTCCTATAAGACAAAATTTTGCTTCTAGCAAAATGATTAGTTCAAAAACATTCTATATGTTGCTTCTCCTGAAAAGTATAATTCCACGTATTCCATAAACAACTTCACAGCATATTACATTTACAATTATATAAATAAACAATAATAAGATCTTTTACTCAGCACCTAGTCTACACTGAGCGTTTATCTGGGACTGTATCTCCTTGAAGCCCTTCAACAAATCAGCAAACACTAGTATCTCCATTTTACAGTTGAGAAAACTAAGTTCTTCTGAGGTTAAATCATTTACTCAAAATTGAAATTGAGAACAGGCTGACAGTGACCAGAGGGGAGAGGGGAGGGAATTTCAGGGGAAGGGGGGAAGGGTTTGAAGGAACTAGTATAAAGGACACGTGGACAATAACAACGCGGGTGTGGAGATGGGAGGGAGGTAGGGAGGGCTGGGGGGTGGGCTGGGATAGGGGGTTAAGGGCAGAAAACTGCACTTGAGCAACAATTAAAATAAAAAAAACTATACAGCCAGCAATTTTCATAGCCTGGGGGCCAAAGATCACATGGGTGGTTGTTTCAGATCCTGGGGACCATGTAGTTGGTCAAGGACCAAAACAAGTAACCTCCAAGCTCTGTTTTAGCTCCATCATTCCATGATTCTAAGTGTTTAATCTGCAAAGAATATTATGATGTATGTACAGGGTGGGCAAAAGTAAGTTTACAGTTGTGAGTATGCTAAACATTAACTTCATTCTTGCATTATCATTTATCTTTAATTATTGTATTGTTATTATTATTTTAAAGATGTTATTTATTTATTTTTTAGAGAAGGAAGGGAGGGAGAAAGAGAGAGAGAGAGAGAGAGAGAGAGAGAAACATCAATGTGCGGTTGCTGGGGGTCATGGCCTGCAACCCAGGCATGTACCCTGACTGGGAATCGAACCTGCGACACTTAATTATTGTATTATTTATATTACTTGTGTTACTAATGTTGTTATTGTTATTATTACTTTGTATTCTTACTAACGGTCTACCTTTTAGGTAATAATGGCTAGTAATTAACCTACTTTTGCTTATCCCTTTGTATTTCTGTTTAATTCGAGTAACATTTTCTGGTTTACAACTAAAAGGAAGTTCGATGGAATATTTACTTTGAATGTAAAACAGCATCCTTTAATTAGAGAAAAAATGGTAGGAATTTATACTACATTTACAATTTCCTACATGCTTTATATATGTATCTTTATAGTTATTATTATTTCTATAGACTTGGAGAAATGTGACTTTGTAACCATAATATCAATTTTCCCCCTCTTTCTTTTCAATCATGTGACTTCAGGTAAAGAGTTCACCCTTTGTCTTGAAAAGTTGGGGGCAGCCGATATGACATAAGTAGGAAGCTAGAAAGGAATTTAAGTGATCATCCAGTTCAACTATTGTGGTAGATGAGGATATTGTGATTCATACCAATGGCATATTTTCTCTAAAATAATGCGAATAATAGTTTCCTATAATTATGTTAGTCATGAGATGTAAAATGTTAAAAAAAGTATATAGCTCATATCAGACATTTGATGCGCCTTAGCTAGTAGTAGTGATGATAGTAGTAGTAGGGTACACACTTACCATATTTTAATAAACACTAAATTTATTAAATAAAAACTTTAAATTTGATAATAGATACAATATTACATCTACCATGACTAGGACTTTGTAAAAGACAACAGATGTGATAGCAATTATAGAGCTAGACCTGGATAGTCTATGACAAGTTAGTAAAGAGAAAATGGAGTGTCACAGGTTCGATTCCCAGTCAGGGTATATGCCTGGGTTGCAGGCCATGACCCCCAGCAACCGCACATGGATGTTTCTCTCTCTCTCTCTTTCTCCCTCCCTTCCCTCTCTAAAAATAAATAAATAAAATCTTTAAAAAAGAGAGAGAGAAAATGGTAGGTCCCTAAAAGTTAGAAGCCAATGTTACAATATGTAGTAGATTTTCCTAAGTCAATTTGAGGATGTTATTATATTTAGCATATGATTAGTTGGTTCTTTACTATAAAAATTTTCCCTACAAAGGAATATTTTTTATGACACTAATAATAATCTATTTTGAATACCAGATGCTAGAAATAAGCTAATCTCACCATACTTTAACACGACAATTTAGCCTAGAAGTATTTCATGCCTTTGGCAATAAAGAGGTTTAATTCTTTCAAAATGCAATGACTGATTTTCCATTTTAAACTAGATTAATGATTCCTAGGCCCTAAAGAAAATAAGAAACCTTCATCTACTTGACGCAAATTTCAGAATATAATATATTCCTTTGGAATAAAAGACGGTTAGTGGATTTAACTCAACTAGACTCCTCTTCCCTGTTTAGGGAGGTAATGTCTAAGGTTGTAAATTTTCCCTCCCTTTCTTTGCCTCCCCTTCTCACTCTTGAACTCTTGCAGTTAATATTTGCTTTGGGATCCAGCCATTGAAGAGTAAGCAGAGAAGGGATGAAAGCTAAAAACCACAATAGCACTTTTGCTGCCGTTTTGTGTTTTGGAGTAAATATAAGGAAGAGGTGGAAGTTATTGGTGAAGGTGAAGTTTTTCATTTCCTCTGGTTCTGATAGGAAGTAATCTCATTATCTATGTTTGTGGATAATCAAATATCTACCCAGAGTTGGAGAGTTAATTCTATTAGTGAACGGTATAGCTCCGCTCTCTCCCTACGTAAGCTACCTGATACAGTCCTCATCACTATCACCTTGAAGAGAACACTCTCCTTCCACGTAGCTTCCTTGCTTGCAGTCTTCCCGCGGGCCCCCTCTAACCTATTCCCAGCCCTGGAGTGCTCTAGCTAACTGCAATCAGACCTGGTCATCCCCCTGCTTATGTTACTGTTTTCCGTCACCTACAGGACAACGCCCGAGCTAATCTATTCCATGGCTAAAACCATCCTTCATCCTTGAGCTTCTGCCTCCCTGTTTCTGCACCATCTCCCACCAGGCACTCCAGGGAACCCAAATCCACTGTCATCACAAATTATCAACACTTGCTCGGGTATGAGGCCTCTTGCCCCGGTGCCTATGATCAATGATTCCTCTGTCCAGAGTGTCTAAATAACTGAGGAACTCTCGTGCCCTTCCTTAGCTTACTGAGTCTTCAAGATCCACGTTCAGATATCAGCATCAGAAAGCCTTCCTCAGGCGTCTGCACACTCACCACCACCAAGCTGAACTAACTACCCCCTCTCTATATAACCACATATGATGCGGGCCCCGGCTCGTGGGGTCCGCGTCATTAGGGATGGTATAGGAGACAAATTCACACGGACTACTGAGGAAAAGGGACAGCATGGCTTTTCTCTCTAGGGGAGCAAAGGCCTTGGCCCTTGCTCCAAGGAGCTCTCATTGTCTTACCGGGCACAAGACAAGAAGGCCCTCATTTACTCTGCACAGGCTTGCTTTAGGGGGTTACCTTTTACAGAAAACAAAGGAGAGGATGCCGGTAATCACATCACAGAAGAGGGAGATTTGCAAATGAAAAGGCAAAAGTGGTCAAACCGGTTACACTCACCCTTGGAAGGTTTAGCAAGGATTTTAGGAAGTTGCTTTGCAGCAAATGTCCTCAATTCAGGGGGAGGGAGTTTTAGCAAAAAGCAAGACTCAGAGCGGTCCAGGCACATTGCAGGCCTGATTCCCCACGGGAGAACCTATCTGTGGGTGTGGGTCCTGAGTATCTCCCAGTGGGTGCTGGGCCCACGCCACGCAGAGCGGCCTCCCACACACATATGCTGTACATCATTGCTCTTGCCACTTTTTCTTGAAATTAAGTGGTTGGTATGCTAGCAGTTTAAAATGTAAATCTCACAAGGATAGGAACTGAGCTATATTTTATAACCCCCAAATCTAGCACTGTTCTTGGCAAACAGTAAGCATTTCATATATAAAGATTTGTTAGATTATCTTCATCCAGATGTATTTCATAATATTGTACAGAAAAATAATAATATTCATGTTTCCAAAACAGCAAGTGGACTGAAATTCAGATGCAGTCTCTTATTTTTATTATCATGATCAATAGCGTAAATATCTTACCTTGTGGATTATACAAAGTATTTGATTCTTAGCTTGTTATTTGTTTTTTTTAAAAAAATATTTTATTTATTTATTTTTAGAGAGGGGGAGGGAGAAAGAGAGGGAGAAAAACATCCATGTCTGACTGCCACTTGAGCACCCCCTCCTGGAGACCTGGCCCGCAACCCAGGCACGTGCCCTGACTGGGAATCGAACCAGAAACCCCTTGGTTCACAGGCTGGCACTCAATCCGCTGAGCCACACCGGCCAGGGACATTTGTTATGAGCATTTCTAAGCTATCCCTGAGAACATTTCTAATACTTTTTGAAAATATCACACCATAGTATTTACTCTATACCTGATGTGGTTCAACTTACTTCTGCTTTGGAGCTCAACTGCTATTTGCCTTTCCAGATTTTCTCTAATTTCTTTTTCTCTATAGAGCTCCAATCGCAGGTCCTTTTTCTCTTGTTGAATCTGCTTCTCCTGGATGCGCGCATTATCCAGGGCCACTTTCAGAAGACCCTGTCAAAGGACAGCAAAGGACATGCAGTTCAGCTCGTCTGTTTTAGCTTTCAAATACAACAGAATGTATGGAGGTGCTAATGTCTTGTATTACATTTATTTTGTTTATAGAAATATTGTTGACCTGAATGTTGGTCAACAGAGTCTCCACTGAAGACAGACTGTCAGCGAAAATGAAGGGGCCGGGGAATCCAGGAGGCAACGCCTGCCCAGGAGGCAGTTGCATCTTGTCCAGTGGAGACTTGATCATTGGGATTTGAACTGCTACGTCTTCTGCAAAAAAACAAAATGAGCATCAGAAGATTCGAGAATAAACGGCTCAAAATGCTCGCTGTGTTTCATTCGCCTCTAATAGCATCCCTAAAGATTTTGTTTCTCAAATGAAGTGGAAAAAAAAAAACCACCTCCTAATTAGAAGTCAAACCTATGCCCCAGACCCCTCTAATTTAAAAAAAACGATTGTTTCAGAAAAGAATCAGTGAAAATAAAGCAACATTTACTGCTAAAAATCATAACATTTGAAGAAACAAATGTAATATATGTTTGTGAATGCCTATAAATTAATCAGACAACTTCCTGGTACAGCATAAATTGATTTTTGTTTTTTCTCTTGAAATCTATCTATCTATCTATCTACTTACCTATCTATCTAATCTATCTACCTATCTCTATTCTTTTTAACACCTTTATCAAGGAATAATTGACATACAACAGAATTCGCCTATTTTAAATGTATGCTTCAATGACTTAGTAAATTTACAGAGTTGTGTGACCATCATAACAAATCTGATTTCATAGTTGTCATGGTTTTTGTTCGGGATTTCTTGTGTGGGAAGCTGGGGTGTAGAATCTCGGGCACCTTCTGTGAAATGGGATAACATTATCTCTGGATAAAATGCTCTTCAAATAGACCATCTTTACAACTTTCAATTTCCCAAAACCTATAGGGCTAAAAATGCCAAGCAATTATTTGTAGAGAATCAAAATCATTTTCACTGATTATTTGCATTAAAGCTTCACATTGTTTAAGTCCAAACTATTATAAACAGCATTTGTGTATGTCTTAAAGTATTCAATAAAAGGCATACGTTATTAGCCTATGGAGTTTCTTTTAACACATGAAGCTATAAACAACACGCTCTCAAGAATGTTTTTCTAGTACAACTTAAAAATAATATATATTTTTAAAGATTTTATTTATTTATTTTTAGGGAGGGAAGGGAGAGAGAGAGAGAGAGAGAGAGAGAGAGAGAGAGAGAGAGAGAGAGAGAGAAAGAGAAACCTCAATGTGCAGTTGCTGGGGGTTATGGCCTGCAACCCAGGAATGTACCCTGGCTGGGAATCGAACCTGGGACACTTTGGTTCCCAGCCCGCGCTCAATCCACTGAGCTACGCCAGCCAGGGCTTAAAAATAATATTTTGATAATAAATGTGTGGTGTGTGTTTTCTACAACTTTCTTATTGTAAAATTAACCCTAACCTTTTATAGAATGTTCCTTCCTCCCCTCCTTTCCCTCCTTCCAGGGGCAATGAACAAATTACCAAAATCCTGTGATCTCTTTCAAGCACAACATTTAAATCCTTGAAATGTCCCATTAGAAAAAGAAAATCTTAAGATATGTCTTGGGCAACATCTCTCATATGTCTAAAGTGCATTTCTGAATAACTAACTAAGCAACACTATGTCTTATTTGTGTTATTTGAAGTCTGTATGTATAGCCAGCATTTTGTCTTCAGACACGTGTGCATTAGATGGATGGAGTGACTTCAAAATGCTCTATCCACATTAATAATAACTGAAGAGGTTCTACACCTTCACATGGCTGTTTAACAATCTTAAACTAGAATTTTATGTAGCCTACAGGTCTATTTTTAAAAAGTGAACTGCCGCAAAGTTAGAACACTGACTTCCTCCTGAGTTAGAGATAACGTGATGCTTCTTCTGAATAAATATTTTGTACCAGTAGCGGAGTTCTCAAATTAATGGGATCCTTGTTATGCATCACTCTGTACACGCATTTAACTGAGTGGAAACAATTCAAACATTACAAACAAGATACCTGACACAGAGAGCAATACTTCAGCATGCAGGAGACAAAATTATAACCACATTAAAATCGCCAGAAGTCTTCTACCTGGAGATGAAAGAAATGCCATGACATTGGCTAAAAGGAAAATTACTCCTGTCTATGAAGACAGGTTGCATGCTCTATGGTTTGTGTCGCTGTACAGTAGATTGAAGTTTCATAATGGTATTACTCTTCTTTAAAGAGACAGACACGGCTGAATTAGGTGCTGTTTGCTGCACTGAGGGTCCAATGCAAAAAGAATCATATTTCATCAGACCTAGTCAACACCGGGAAAATAAATAGAAATATAAGAGGTACGCAGGCAATGATTCATTCTGAGAATCTGGCCCAGGAGAGACACAGGCAGACAGCACACAGATCTAAGCTCCTACCGAAAGACAAATAGGGCGCCGAGGGCGGGAGTTGGGCTGGCCGTGTAGCAGAGGTCACATCGATTTTCAGCAGCGGTTTTCACACAGATGAGATAACCCTGGACTCGATTTGGCCCATTGTTCATATCCTACCTGTCCCACAAGCAATATATCTCCCAGTCCCAGAAAAGGGCAGTAAAGAAGAAGGATTCTACTTATGACTTCTTATGATTAAGTTTCTGTGATAAGCAAACATGTTTTCTTCAGACCAAGGTCACATTGCGTGTTAAGGTCTATAATAGCCAAAAACTAGGACAAGTGTGTTATGCTCTGGTGTATATCAGTGGGAACTGTCAAATTGGTTTTTTTTTTTTTTTTTGCATTTAAATTACATGCTACAAAATGAATAGTAAATGTATAAGAAATCTGTTTTGATCTTGTAATAATAGGTCTTCACATCTGAATGACATCTACATTTTGCTCTGAGTTTAAATAGGTGCACCATTATGTGGGAAGTTATTAGGTAGACTTGAGGAACTCTTCATTGGCAATGGAAGTGAATACAGGTGAGTACTAGAAACATAGTTTGTCAGCTGAAGAAGAGCATCCTTCGTGATCCATGGAGAAAGAGTTTGGATTGAGATTTTTCTATTTCAAAAGCTGGAATTCAAACTGTATATTTTAAAGCTTTTCCCAACCCTTGTGACGTAATGACAGAGACCGAAAGATAAAGACAGGATAACTGCTGTGTAGCTGAGGACGTGAACAACCTCCTCCTTCTTGAAGCAACGTGGTGACTGCGTAGAGTGAGCTTGTTAGACCTGCCATACTTTGTAATAGCGCCTGGGGATCCATTCGGAAAGCAAGCTCTTAATGTCAACTTCTTGCTTAAATATTGACAAGAACTTTACTTGCAGAAAAAAAAAATGAAACGAACATATGGCAAAGCCTCAGAATGGAAAAGCTCCCATTAAAATGGAAGTCAAAGCTGCTAGACCCTTTATCCACAGGACTCCAGTGCTTATTTTCTCCCTTTCTCTGGGCTTAAGTCTTTCCTGTTTCCTCTGGGGTTTGAGGACTGCGATACAAAACCAGAAACTGAGCCCAGCTGACTTACTTAGCAGGAAAAAAAAATGCAGCTATCTACCCAGTCCTGAGTTGGTAGTCTTTTTTAAAAAAATAATTTTAAATTTATTTTTAGAGAGAGGGCAAAGGAGAGAGAAAGAGAGGGAGAGAAACTTCGGTGTGTGGTTGTCTCTCGTGCACCCCCTGCCGGGGACCTGGCCCGCAACCCAGGCGTGTGCCCTGACTGGGAATCGAACTGGTGACCCTTTGGTTCGCAGGTCTGTGCTCAACCCACTGAGCCACACCAGCCAGGATCTTAGCTGGTATTCTTTAACAAATAAATTCTATTTCATCATTTGACTTGAGAGCTTTTCCCTAGATATAGCTGGCCCAAGGGACATTCTGCACAAGCAAGACACCTGCTTTGCTCTTCCAATGACAACAAAATATCCCAGTGCCATGTAATGATCTGACCTGCGTGACCGTAAGGAAGCGTTCATGGTGTGAGTTGAACAATGACTCAAGTGCTGCCATCCTCAAAGGTGGAAAAGAAAAACTTGATTCCAAAAGTCTAATGTATCTTTAGGGAGACAAAATAATAAATGGTGCTGATGAGTGAAAATGAAAAGGTAATAGCAAGCCCTGGCTGGTGTAGCTCAGTGGATTGAGCGCGGGCTGGGAACCAAAGTGTCCCAGGTTCGATTCCCAGTCAGGGCACATTCCTGGGTTGCAGGTCATAACCCCCAGCAACCGCACATTGATGACTCTCTCTCTCTCTCCCCCTTCCCTCCCTAAAAATAAATACATAAAATCTTAAAAAAAAAAAAGAAAAGGTAATAGCAGAGGAATGAATGGTCAGCAGCCTGAGAATGTGAGGTAGAATACTTCAAAAACCCATTATGGCGCTGCTGTCCTCTGGATCCTTATATTAGTGGTTTGGCAAAACAAGCTCCTTTGTCAATCATGAATTAGAAGTAAATCATCCTTCAGATAAAATATCATGCTAATAACAAATATTGCATCCATGAGAATTTGGAAGATGTATGATACCCGGTCCTTGGCTTTAAGGAGATGAGACATTATTTTGGAGACAAAGTTCACAGGTTCCAGAAGCGGAAAATGGCGTGTGAAATCCCGTGGCATGGATGGTTAAGTGTCTCGAACTGTTAAAAGTAGGAGAGATCATTCAGGTCTGGAGTAAGCACCCAAGCTAATCTAGCTGAAAAGTATTCCCACTGGCCTTAAATTAAAGTCCCAGGAAACTTCCCCAGGATATGAGGTGTGCCAACATGAAAATGTTCCTTGTTGAAACCAGTGTTAAAAAAACTGGATTAAACAATATTAAACAGTTTTCCTTAAAGCAAAGGCTGTGGACAGATGACAGGGTGTCCAGTGAAGTTTGAATTTCAGATAAACAGCAAACTATTTCTTAACATAAGCATGTGCAAAACATTCCACGGGACATCTTCATACTAAAAAATGATTCTCTGTTTATCTGAAACTGAAATTTTACTGGGTATCCTGTTTTCTATTCTTTTTTTAACTTGCTAAATCGATTCAAGCCAGACATCTTAGAGCCTTTAAAATGCTAATACTGAATATTAACATATGTTACATGTTAATGTAGGCATCTGAGACCGTAACAATGAAGAGCAAAAAATGATGAAGCCAGAGTGTTTAGGTTTGAAAGCCTGCTCTATGATTTGCAAGCCCCTAGGTAAAGTACGTAACCTTTCTGTGCCTGGGTTTCTGCATCTGTAAATCGAGG